TCCCTCTCTATGCATCCCTATCTTTCACTTCTTCAAAGTGCTCTTAAACGTATTTTGCATTAAGACCAGAAGCATTCTGTAACAGGAGCGTAAGCCCAACGGCCAGGAACTTCCCAAACCTGATCTCCATTGAGTTCCCTGGACAGAATCTGAGCTTCAATTTCCTCAGTCGATAAACTGAGAACACCTCAGCTGCCTTCCTTTCAGAGAGACTTTGTGAAAATTGATCAGCTGATGTTCGAAGAATACTTTCAAGATGAGCAACTCTTTAAAAGCCCTGTTTACGAGGCAGATCCTCAGCTGGGGCACACGATCCTAGCTGCAAGGACTTACACGAAATCATGACACTCGCATCAGTTGAGCCCCCCCCTTCAGTTGCCACACGCAATAGTGGATTTGTCATATCTGGTGTGTAATTCACGAAAGTAAATCAGTGCTTACTGGGAAGACAAAGAGATAGGAAAGAGAAGAGAATGACTTGAGCCCTGAGCATCAAACGAAGCAATATTTTTCCAGTATTTTCTTCCCTGTGTATTTTTTCCCGGACTTCTCTTAGCTCCCAGATAGAAATGTGTTTGCCATGTGTAACGTTCAACATTCGGAATCTTGGATTTGTATTCAAAATGTATTTTTAATACAAAGACTAATTTCCAGTTTGGCACGAAGCACGATAAAAATGCCCTGCAAATGGCAGATGGCCTGCTATAGGCCATTTATTTTACTATTTTACAACCTCGGGCCTATGTAGGCTTCCATACGTTAGTTGGGTTAAGACATTCTGCAAGCTTCATTCCAGTAATTGGGTTCTATCCTTCATCTTCTTTATTATTGGAGGGGAAAAAAAAAGATGAAGGTGAAAATAAACCATAAAGTTCCTATTTAAAAACTGATTCACTAGCGAGGCAGTAATCTCCATAACTAAGGTTACAGTCTGGTCTTTGCACCAACACCCTCTCGTAAGAATAAGCGGAATAGTTTCAGGGGTAAAAATCAGCAAGGTGATCTTGATTAAACCAAATCTTTGCTGTGTTAGTCATGATGTGAGATGCGTGCAACAACTGCTCACGAATCTTAATGTAGTGGTTACCGTACCAAGTTTGCAGCTGTTTCCTTAATTTCCCTTACAATTATATTTTAGTGTTATTTTGCATAACAGTAAAACACAACACCTGCTTCAAATTGCAGTCCTGTTCCAAGTACTGTAATTCTTTTGAGATACTAACTACGAAGAGTGTGCAACACAGAGCAGCATAATTGCCCTGCACTGAAAAGTAAATACAAATGAAAACATCTTCCTGTTAGAGAAATGACTGTCATTAACAAGAATGCTAGCCATCAAAGCTCCCAGGAAAAAAAAAAAAAACACCCAAGTTTTTCTTTTACACAGCAAGAACTTCAGCGTCTGCATAAATTAAGTAGTAGTGTGAAAATTACATGTCTAATGTTATTTTTTCGCAATTAAAAGCTACAATATAAAACAACAGGTTAAAGCAACAACAAAAATCTGCCTGGGCTTTCAGAAACGCTATATCACACTATTTTCAGTAATCTAGCATAAGAAAGGTCAGAACATTAAATTTCATATTATAGTTCACTCATGGAAAAAAAAATCCAATTTGTTCATGAGAGTGAATTATACATAAAGATAATAAGCGTTTTTTACAAGGTTTATAACAATCCATGTTACAGAAAGAAATTACAACTAACTGGCATAAAACAAATGATAAGAGAATACTTGAATAGCTGTATTAAATACTTTAAAGTTGACTTCCAGTAAGATTATAAGTATATAAACTGCAATTGCTTCCCATTGTTCCGATCTTTAATCTTAAGAATAAATCTCTATACTTAAATTAAGACAAAGCTGAACAAAGCATCCTTTTAAAATGAAATTCAACAAGAAATGCCGGACTGAAAAAAAAAAAAAAGTAAAATTTGAAGCTGGCTTCTGTGTCAATTCTCTAGTTTCTATTTAGTGCTCCACAGAGTACTACAGCTGACCTACCAGAAGTATCTAATTATTACCTTCTTTACTGTGAACTTCTCTGAAGAAAATATCAGAAAGGAGCTGAACACCTCAAAACTTTAAAAACATTTATTTTAGGCCCAAGATAAAAAAAAAAAAAAAAATTAAAAGGCTACTTTGAATCACTACCGTTCTTCTTTCTCCAGCTGCAATCCCTCTTTGAAGACTGCATACAGGAGATGAGTACAAAAGAATAAAAGTTGCATTATTTTTCACATCTGTCACGTAAAACAACGTGCAGTATCTTCCACGCCTTATTTGGCAGTTTTAAGAAAGAATGACTGTATTAAAAACCTGAAAGAAAACTGCTTAACACGTTGCGTTTTCCCAAATGTAGCTGTTATCCTGGGAGCAACAACCCTCTTCCAGGGCGGATTTGCACGGACAGTGAGCCAGGAGACCTGCTATTGTATACATCTGCTCAGCTTTACAGGTATAAACCGGCACTTCTTCACAAAAGGGCTGACGCGAACTTAGGCGCAGCTCGTTTTAAATCGGTATACAACTGCAGCGTCAAAAAACTATCACAAAATATGCCCAGATAAGTAATTTTAAAACGCGACGCTCCGTTTCACGGGGAGCCACACACACACAAGCTCTGCGTACGCACATACAGGCACGCGGAAAACGCGTTTCCCCCCAATAAAATATTTACGCCTTCCTCATCTGAATTTCAGAAATTTGCCTTCTGGCTGGTCTCGCGTTGGAAAAGACAATCGTGCAAGGCAGGAGACGGGAAGGGTTAACCCCGTGTCAACACCTTCTGTTGATACATCCACTATCCCGACACCGTTACAGCATCAGGACACGTTACACCCGCCCGGAGCGCGGGCACTGCCCGCCCCAACCCCCCCGAGGGACGGCGGCCCCCGCTCCCTCACAGGTT